ACCATTGGTTCAAACCTGGGTGACAAGATGGTTTTGTAATGAAGTGGCCACGTAAACATTGTTAAGAGTAATACATACAGTTTTGAGTTGTTAAAAATTATAAATCCCCTTAGCTACAGGCCCATGACCCTAATTCACAAAATTAATTTAATTTTAAAAACATTTGGGTTACAAATTTTGTCAAAATATTTTTTTTACTATAAAAGCCCAGACATATTTACAAGATATTTAACATTTAAAATCTCTTAGAGAATTTTTTTTTTTCTAAAATCCTGTGACAAGTGAAGCCCTCAATAACAGGAACTATGTTACCTCAGTATTTTGTTAATTTAAAAAATTAAAACTATCTCAATATTCTGCAATCAACTTTAGAATTAGAATATGTGTTCATTAATATTTTAGGCTATCCTGAATGGGTGATAATTAGTAAATATAATGCAAATATTATATCACAAGGTTTAGTATCATCAACATGAAACATGCAGAAAATTCATCGTGGTATGGGCTTCCATTATTTTCATTTTTTAAATTTAGTTTTGAAATTCATTTTTTTTAAAATGTATGTTTAAAAAAATTAAATAAAAAAAAAGAAGGAAAAAAAGAAAAAACAAATTGCTAAAAAAAAAAAAAAATAAAAAAAAAAAAAAAAAGAAAAAAAAAAAAAAAAAAATGCCAAAAAAAAAAAAAAGTTGACCCCCCCCCCCTTCCAAACTCTATTTTCGTCTTGGTCCAGCTGATGACTTACGCCCTATTTTATTAAATTTGAGTATTAGTCATGTGAGCCTTATTGCTGGGGAGTGCGCAACTACCACATTTGTCCATCCCTGCAACAAAAAATAAAATAAAAAGAGGATACAAGAATACCCTATTGAGCCCACAGGTGTATTCAACCGTCCTTCCCCAGGCAAGAGCCAACAGCCTCCCTTAAAAAATAAAAAAAATTTGGTCTGTCCAAAATTTTGTCAGTGTTTTAAACATATAAACATTCAATCAACAAAAAAATTCTTTGGCACATGGTTAAAATCTAAACAAGACTAGTTTGATGATATAGATATATATGTAATATAGATTATCACATGCAGTTTTTGGATATGTGGTCACTTTAGGACAGTAAACACACAGATCAATAAAGTAAAAAGTCATTGATGATACCATAAAAAAACTTTGGCTGATTGTTATTTTGTGACAAGGCTCTTAACAACCCATTGATATAAATGACAATTGAAATTGATTACTTTATTAAAAGCTATTTGGCGAGATTTGTCGACATTATTTCTACAAACCAAACATTGGTCAACAATTCTTGACGCCATGAATATTAACTATAAAAAGAATTACATTTTTGTTAAAAAGGATGGAATTTTAAAATAAATAATTTATTATTTTTATTATGCGATTTTTTCTCTTTAAAAAATGGTTAATCCATTTGTTTGCAACTTTCTAGGGTATATTTTTTTTTTTAAATAATAATTTAAAAAAAGAGGACTACTCTGTGTGAAGTGAATTCAAAAACAAATTACAACTTAGTGATTTGGATGATAATCTAAACGGTACAGTAATGATATTGTGATTTAAAGCTTTTTAAGGCAAACATTACATTTATAATTTTTTTTTTTTTTGGTTGACAATAATTTTTTTATTTAATGAAACTAAATTCCCTTGAATGATCTCCAATATTAGTGATTTGGATGATAATCTAAACGGTACAGTAATGATATTGTGATTTAAAGCTTTTTAAGGCAAACATTACATTTATAATTTTTTTTTTTTTTTGGTTGACAATAATTTTTTTATTTAATGAAACTAAATTCCCTTGAATGATCTCCAATGTTTAGCTCAGTGATTGCTCAACTCATGTTCTATTCTAGCTCTGGATGGAAACCCCCAACATGTATGTAGATGGGGACCCTCCATGTATTATGAAAACAAATATGATAAAATGGAAGACACTTAAAATTAACATCAGCTTTCGGTGTGGGAGAAACAACAACAATGTTAATGTACGCCACTGTGAGGTTTAAACTGAATGGTAGGTTGGGGGGGGCGAATGTGGTCACCACCTTTAGAGTGAAGAATGATGCACACCAGTGGGGGGTTGGGGTTTTCTAAATGAATGTATCACCACCAAGCACCTAGCAAAACAGATACAATTCAGGTGCTTTAGTTTCTAAATCCTAGATGTGTGTGGCTGGAACATAGCTGGTGTTGACAAAACAATTTATCTTCACATTCACGTGCCATGTTCAATTGAACTCAAGGAGGCGTATTTCTTTAACTGATGACATCCAATTTTTGTTAAAATTAAGTTTTAGTACTGTTTTAACAAAATTTAACATGCACAATAAACATGTCATGACGTTTGAAAAATGCTGTGAGAGGAGCTGAAAAAAAAAAATAAATTACCAAATAAAAACTTTTGTAAAAAATTAATTTATTGCTGGAAAACAAAGTTCCATGATGCATCCACTTTGAATTTTTAGGAGTGTTTATGGAGTTTCGAAGATGTAAAGCAGCGGTTCTCAACCTGTGGATCGCAACCCACAGGGCTCGTAAGACCTTCGGCAAACACACTTACTCTACAGTTATGACGTATCAACAAAAATAATTTATGGTTTGGGGTTGCCACAACAGGAGGAACTATATGAAAGGGCCACGGCTTTAGAAAGGTTGAGAACCACTGATGTAAAGAATAATTTTCTCTTCAAAACAAGAAAAGGTGCACCACATGTGTTCATTATCAACTTAATGAAAAAAGTTTCCATATGCAATTGAAACTTGCAATAAGCAAAAGTAGATCATTAGTGAGAGAGATCAGAACAAAAAAAGTGAGTTTAAAAGGAGATGTTGTAATAGAAAAGTGTATATAAAATAAAGTGTTTGTTATCACATTAGAATAAGACTTGGCCACAACAAGATTTGATTTTAAAAATTTTTAAAAAATTGCCACTCAGAAATGTAGAATGAGAATTTTTTTTTTGTTTCTAGGAAGGAACATACAGGATAATATATACATGTACATATTGGAAACAAATATATTTTATTCAAATAACACTTACTTCAACAATGCAGATTAACAAAATAAGAACATATGTGACACTTGGTGGATAACATTGATCACCAGTTAGTGACACACAGTGGGTAACACTGATCACCACACAAGCGCATGCACAAACTTCATGTCACTGAAGCAATCAAATATAAACTCCCATCTCCTTCCTACATACAAAATCCCACACACAAGAACTGTGCATGCATCAAGTCCATCGACAAACTGTGCAGTAGCTCTACATTTCTTGAACACACCCAAGTGCCACCGCAGATGACTTTAGTACATTTAAATGTAAACCAATCCAATCTGGCTACACAACAGATATCTCAAATATCCTGAGGGCCAAGAAGCCATAATTTTTTTTCCAACAAAAAAAAAAAAAAAAAAAAAAAAAAAAAAAAAAATAAAAAAAAAAAAAAAAAAAAAAAAAAAAAAACAAAAACCCAAGTGCCACCGCAAATGACTTTAGTACATTTAAATGTAAACCAATCCAATCTGGCTAAACAACAGATATCTCAAATAACCTGAGGGCCAAGAAGCCATAATTTTTTTTCCAACAAAAAAAAAAAAAAAAGAAGATAAATCAGTGCATTTTCAACAAAGTCCTAATTGAGGGCTCAAAAGCCAAAATGGCAACAACATTTGGCAAAAAGAATACAGTGTGGAGATTGTCTGTCAGCAGTTGTAACATGCAAGGTTAGGATTACACATTTCATATCAAAGTCTAAAAAATAAATTAAAAAAACGGAGGAACATTTATAACTCAAAAGTTGCTTGTATTTCATAACAGTTTTCTTTTAAATAACCCAAAGACTACTCCGATTTTATTATAGTAACTACAAATGTATTGTAAAAATTAAATTGATTTCCATTGAATTTGTTGGAAAACATTTTGAATTCTCAGAGTAGTTGATTCCTCTACATCTTGGCTAAAATTTGGTAAAAATAATCAATTTACAATTTTTCTCCAGTTAGATGTTCTTAAACTTTTATGTTCAGAATAACAAATTTAATAGAATTGTTTCATAGAGAATCCCAGTAAATATTTTTTAAAATAAGATCCTATGTTTATATATGCAACCCCCCCCCCAACTTCCCCACAACCCCTAACATCTATAGATTTAAACAATAAGAGCTTACTTTCAAGCAGCTATGAATTAAGTAACATGGATTAAATGCAATTTTTAAAATCAGATCCTGATCACTCAATTTAAAACATAGGAGCGCTGTAAGCTTGTTATGAAGTTGTTGATTTATCCTAGGGTTGCACAAATGGTGATTTTACTATATGTGCAAAATCATGTCCAAAAAAAAAAAACCCCACATATTTTCAGCCAAATACACGTACTGTGCCAAAAGCTTCATTTAATACACTCTGTCCATATATTGCAGTGCCATTTCTGTATCAGTTATAAAGTGATAAAAACATAATACATTGTTCAAAGTGGTACAAAGCTCTACAACATCATGGCAAATGCCTCATGACTATTTGACGCTAATTAAACCTACCCTTGAATAGATTTTTAAAACCCTTGACTGCAAATGAGCGCACACAACATATATTGCCTAGGCTACACAGTCACATCTTTTCTTGCATCATAGTAATGTACTTTTAGACCTAAAAGACATTGGGATATTTGCTAAAGGGCCCTAATTGCAACCACTAACTCCAGCATGGACTGGATTCGAGCACAAAGTGGATTTCAATTTTTCTAACTTTATATATATAAAAGCCGCCTCTCCCTAGTAGTGAAATCATATGCTTTCCTATTACCTATAATCAGACAGTTCATGCACAACCAATAATAATAATAAATAATTGTAGAATCCTTACATGTATATTAATAATACCTGATACGTACAGCATTGTGAAAAATTGCACAAGAGACAGCCCAGCTAGGGAAAGGTTAACAAGGGTAAAAAAAAAAAACAACCTATTCACGCAAAGCACTCAGTCATCACTTGAACTCCTTGAAAAGCATGCTGGGAATTTCCAGAGCTTGGACCCCCCAATGGCCCTCAAGGCCAGCCACTCTTGCATATTAGGGACAGTGCAGACTATAGATTCTTCCTCCTGTTGGGTCAAGTTGTGCCCCGGCTTGTAGGACTTGTGGGCTCCATTGCCCACGACTGAGTGATGGGACTGGGAGTTGGCGGCTGCTGCTGACCTGGTGTCAGAGACCTGGTCTGGTGAGAGGGCAGAAGAGGCAGTGTCACACACTGAAAACAAAATTAGGGGGAGGCTAGTCACATTGCATGCGGAATGTGGCTGAAGCAACAAGTCAAATGAAGGGCAAAGTACTAATGATGTTCTTATTGTAATAAGAAAAAAATGTTTGTTTTTTTAAGATAAGCTAGTTCTTTCAGAAACGGATGTGTTATTAATGAAAATTGTGGTAATATAATGAACAAAAAGAATAATTCATGCACAACACAGAGAGAGAATAAAAACATAACCAGGCAGTCTTTAAATTACAAGCTTTAAAATTAGGATAGCAAGAGAAATTTAGATGATTTGCTTTTGTTTAAAATTCACTTTACTATTCACTAGCAAAGTCAGAGTATTTATTATTCATGAGTAAAGTCCAAGTAATATTCTATTTTTTTCTAAAGCTTAGCTCCAGCCAAGCAGGCCAACAGTGACTTACTTATGTTCTCCATCAGTTTGCTGGATGATGGCTTCTGGCTTGGCTGGCGCTTCAGCAACAGAACTATGCCCTGCATCTGCTGAAAAATGGCCAGCTCAGTAACACTCTGCCTCACCTCCTCATTGGTTAGCAACTGGCCAAGTTGGAGGTTGACATATTCAAAGTCCATGCCAAGTTGTACAGCTCCCCACAAACTGAAAGTACACACATAAATTGTTTCGCTTTGTGTGATTAGATTGTAGCCGTGTGCTTAGTGGCTGAGTGGTTGGTGGCAATACAGTTTTAAATTTAGATTAAAAATCCAAGGAAATCAGATCTTGAGCACTATATCTTTTTATTTGTTCCGAGAATATGATAGCAAAAGATGGGGACGAAAAAGGACAATATAAAGCTGCCAGAAAGACCGGTGAAATCACTCAGAACTAATGTGGTTTGCTACAAGTCCTCTATATCAATTCAAAATGAGCGGGTGGCATCGTATGAGCCTGACACAGGAAACTCGGGAACAATGATGCCAGCATCACGTGTTGGTCACTGGCTGTGCAACAGTGACCAAACAAGAGGTTAGGGCCCAGCACACAGCTTTGTGGTACTTCAAATCTCCATGAGTGTGTATGTGTTATATCATAACCTTGGGTTCACCCACAGCGATCAAAGTGACACTTGGAGAGTAAGTTACCTTATTACCATTAAGTATCATGTTACCACAAGATTTCTTTTCTTCAGTCAATTAAAAAATGAAGCCAAAATGAATGATAAATATTGTTCTTGTCGAGAATTGATTCTTCTGTATGGCCAAGTCTTTCACTTCATTCCGTTCGGCAGTACATCATACAGCAACAGTCACCAAACCGGTTTGTTGTAAACAGAAGTTTATTTAACCACAATGCACAAACCAAGGTTGATACTTAATGTCGGAGTAACAATCCAATCCTTTCAGCACAACTCTTCATTTAATTAACCGCAATTTCCAAACTATGTTTGATACTTAATTTCTCAGCACAACACTTAGCAGTATTCAATTCAAAACCGTCAATGTAGCACATCCGCCATCTATCTTCTCAAAACACAACGAAAAATAACGCGTCACTTCCCACTACACAATTACGTCACAACACTCTCACACAAACGATACGGCTGCACATAAAATCTCTAACTAACATCTTTTCCCTATCAAACATGACAACAATGCTCTACACATAACAAAAGTGATTCTCATACCCTCGACAGTTCTAAAAAAAAACTATTATCTATTAATCATTTTAAAAAGTATTGTGAAATTGAAATATTCTGTTACTTACCTGAATCTTATTTTTTCTTTCAAGATGGCATTGATTAAGCCATTACAAAAAGCCACTGTGACCATAGACAAAACCCCAATCTGAGATGTGGTGGACAACTTGGACATGCCTTGAACAATAGAAGCCAGTAGATGATCAACTCCTTCTGTAATGTAGGTGCTTGCTACAGATACTTCTTCTGAAAACAAAAAAATATAGGCCTACAAATATCCTACAGTAGACAAATATGGATACTACCTAATCACTTAATAATAAATGTATTCAATAAAGAAAAAAGAATTGAAAGGTATTTATAGTCACAGTTCTTCTTCTTCTATATATTAAGGGCCCACGATCAATTTATTGATCATTTTGGCTCCTATGCATGTAGAGGGGATTTGCAATGTGCCTGGTGTTGTTGAGGATATTTCACTGATTGCAAGTGCCACTTTGTGAGGGAATCATGCACTGAGGGTTTGAAGGCTTTGAGGCAATAGACGCTAATGTGTCAAGAGTTGTCGCCTCAACTGTTTCTTTTGAAAGCTTCTTCCAGTCCCTGATTGTATTGGGCAGGAATGAGCAGATCCTATACTGGCTTCTTGCTGGAATGAGCCTGAATTGCCTGTCATGGCCTCGTCGCTGTCTATGGGGGAGAGGGACGAGTTTCTGTTTAATACTGGAACAGTGGACCAGCCCATTATTTATGTTGTACATCATGGAGAGCCTGGATTGTCGTTGTCGTTCCCCCAATGGTGACCAGCCTAGTGTTTCCAGCATGCTGCCAACACTACAGGGTATTCCTGTAGCAGTTCAGGACAAAGCGTGCTGCCCGTTGCTGGACCGCCTCCAACCTGTCAATGCTCTTCTGGGTATATGGGTCCCAGACTGAAGATGCATAATCTAAAACCGGACGGACAAAGGCTTTATATGCTCTTTCTTTCACACAGCAGTTGCCAATCTTTATATTTCGCCTTAAGAGCCCCAGGGTCTTGTTTGCTTGGTTATATACATTGTTAATATGCTCGTCCCAGCGGACCTCTCTTTGAATGGTAACACCCAGGTACTTTACAGAGGAAACTGGCTCAAGTATATGGCCGTGCAGTTCGTTACAAAGACTCACTGAAAGTGGCACTAAAGGCCTTCAGCATAAACCCTAATTAATGGGTGCAGTCAGCCCAGGACAGAGCCAGATGGAGAGCTGCTGTCAAGAAGGGGGCTAAATCCCATGAAGCTAAGAGAATAACCACAGCTGAGACACGCAGGCTTGTTCGAAAGAGCAACATTAGGTCATCGTCTGAAGCAACTATTCCATGCCCACGGTGTCATAGATTATTCCGAGCAAGGATCGGTCTAACAAGCCACCTAAGAGCTCACCGTAATCCCAACCCCCCCC